CCTGGGTGGCTCAGTGGGTTAAAGCCTCTGCCTTCGGCTCAGGTCATGATCCCGGGGTCCTGGGATCGAGCTCCGCATCGGGCTCTCTGCTCAGCGGGGAGCCTGCTTCCTCCTCTCTCCCTGCCTGCTTGTGATCTCTCTCTCTCCCTGTCAAATAAATAAATAAATAATATCTTTTAAAAAAAAAATGTATTTATTTGAGAGCAAGAGAGCAGGGGTAGAGGGGGAATCCCAAGCAGACTCCCCACTGAACGCGGGGCTTGACACGGGCCTGGGTCCCAAACCTCGAGACCATGACCTGAGCCGAAACCAAGAGTCAGATGCTTCACCAGCTGTGCCACCCGCGCGCCAGTGTTGATAATTGTAAATAACTAGTTACTTGCTGTTACGGAAGTGTCTCCAAGAACAGGTGTTATCAGGTAGGTTAGATTAGGTTGCGTAAAACAAATCTCTGAGTGACTTAAAAATGTAAACACTCATTTTCCTCTTGTGTGATGGGAAAGTGACTTGAGGTTCTCAGTGTGGCAGCTCTGACCCTCACAGCCCAGCCTGGGCCCCTCAGACGGAGGCTGTGGAGCCTTGCCAGAGCCCCTCGGTGCTGCTGTCCTAATGTGGCCCTGCGGTCTGTCCAGCTGCCACACAGGAGGGCACGTTGCCCGGGGTGTGAGGACAGGGAGGGGTGCCGGGAGGCACTCAGCGGGCTCTGTGGTGCTGGTGCTTCCCGTGACTTGGGGGCATAGCACAGCTCAGGACGTTTTCTCCTCAGGCAGAAGATTTTCGCAAGCTCTGGAAAACGCCACCTCGAGAGAAAGCAGGCTTCTTTCACAATGTCAGGAAGACGGATCCAGAAAGAGGCATGGAGAGGGTGGGAAGGTACTGGCTGGCTTTAGCACGGAGGGACCGGAGCTGAGTGGCAGTGTCGTTTTGTATGTTGCATGCTTCTGTGTTGGCTGAGGACAGAAAGCTGTTCCAGCTGCAAAATAGTCATTCCTGGGAAGTGCTCATGGGGTTGGAGAGGGGGGTGTAAAGCCTTTTCCCTGCGGTCTGACTCCTGCAGACATCGCACATGCTGTGGCAGAGGTGTCCGCCGGCGGTCCCTCTCCAGGCAGAGACTCATGGCAGTGTTTTGTATGATGGCCGTATGGGGGGTGTTGCCTTGGCAAAAGAGCAGGAAATAAAACACAAGAGGCGGTGTGGCCAGAAGCTGCTACTAAAAAAGTCCATGAAAAGTGTTGTCTCCGTAGTCAGAAATCTATATTACAGTGTTAAAGCTACATTGAATTGTTTTAAAACTTTGTCTCAAAATATACCCATAATTTCAGATTCCCAGCTTGAGCTTTTGCGCCTAAACAAAACCAGAATCCTCTCCAACTTTATACAGTTGTTTTAAGGAAACAGGAAGGCCATTCTGTTTATGGGGATTCACGTCTGACCTGTTGCCTCTGTAGCGTGTGGTGCGAGTGGGGTGGCCGCGGGCCCCTTCTCTCGCCATGACTTCAGTGCGCTCAGTGTGGCGGCCCGTGTCCGAAACCTGCTTATTAGTCTGGCCCTGCTCGAGAAAACGCAAAGTACTGTTTTACCCCACATTTACGATAGGATCAGAGTCACAGCCGAGACTCCAGGCACTGCTTGGCCCTTCCGGCACAGAGTGGCTGTTTTCTGTGTGGTCCGTCCGTTCTGTGTTTTCCGACTGACGCGTTGTCTTACTCTTGCAGGGAGTTGGCTCGCGAGCTGGGGTACCCCTGGGTCGAATACTGGGACTTTCTGGGCTGTTTTGTTGATCTGTCTTCCCAGGAGGGTCTGCAAAAGCTAGAAGAATATCTCAGTCACCAGGAGGCAGGCATAAAGGCCCCACAAGACTCGGGAGAAAATGAGGCCTGTCGTCAGGAGAACCCCTCTGCCTTTGGTAAGGACACACAGCGGTCTGTGGGTTCTTGGGACCCGGCCCCTGCCCTGTGGCCGCACCCCAGCAAGCGCGTCCATGTGGAGAGCCGGCGCCTGCTACTTCTGTCAGTCGCTCGTGTTCTCGGCCCTGGTGTCAAGTCAGGCGGGAGGTACCAGCCACTGTCGCGTCCCGTGCTTGCATGCCTGCCCTTGACCTTGGCCTCCTCATTTTCCTGCCTTTGAAGGTGGGAGGCTGGACGCTGCTGTTTCCCTGTGCAGGGTCCTGCTTGGCTTTTCCCAAGGGGCGGCGCAGACTCTGTCTGGGAGTCCGAGCGGGTGGATCTGAAGGAGAGGCCGTTGGCTGCTGCTCCTGGGGATTTGCGGCTGCACCGCGTGATCCCTCGCGGACGGTGTCACCCGCGCCTCTGAGGAGCTGCTCTCTCTCCCTTGTAGGCCGTGCTCGGAAGTGCAGCAATTCCATCTCTGTGAGGGCGTTTCTGGATGAAGACGACGACCTGAGCTTGGAAGAGATTAAAAATCGACAGAACACAGCTCGAAACAACACCCAGCCCACAGTTAGCACTTTTGGGGACTCGAAGTGTGACATCCTTCCCTTGGAGCAGGAGACCAGCCTTATAGAAGCATCCACCCTGACCAGTCCCCACGGCAGCGAGAATGGGTTTTGTGGCCCCCTGAGCGGCAGCAGGACCCCAGGCAGGAAGAGGCTGGAGGCCCCAGGCGCCGGAGAAGCACTCATCTCGCCATTCTCCGGCTTGACGGTTGAGTTCGATAAACTGCAATTGCAAGACCGAGGAAGTAATCTTTCCAAGACACCAAATAAAAGCAGGAAAACTAGGGACAAGAAGAGCTTCACATCAAGAACGGATGCAGTCGAGAATGACTTGTTAGAGCCGCCTGCTGCTGACACGCTTACAGAGAACCAAACCAGGACAGAGAGCGAAATGTCAGCCAAAATGGCTAAAATACATCTGGGTCCTGACACTCCTGTGCCCGAGGTTCAGCAGAACTGTGGTTCCATGCCCTCAGAGCCCTCAGGGGTCCCCACTACGAAGGAGCCTGTGGAGAGGCTCTTCCTTTTTGGGTACGAGTGGGGGGTGTGTGCGTGCGTGAGGCTGTGGGAGTGAATGTGGGAGTGCGCCTGACGCTGTGGCGGGCCATGGGAGTGGACGTGAGCTCACGTGGCACTGTCCTAGTTTTCTTAAACCTTTTCTCTGCCCACAACCTGGTTGGACGTGCTTTTCTGGCTCCCAGCTCTTGCACGAGTGTGTAGCTCCTGGTGCTGTGTTGCCATCTTCCAGGTTGGTGCGACACGTGTTCTCCTTTCCAGCCCAGCCTCACGCCTCGCTCTGCTCCCTGGGGAAGTGGTCCTCCCCAGAACAACTGGAACTGTACCAAGAACTCGGTGTGTTTTAGGAAGAAAGCCCATCCTGGGGTAATCTCAGCCTCCCAGGGGATATGCCTTCTGGTCGGTGACCCTGGAGGTGGAGATACTCAGTATTGGGTCCATCATGCCCCCTGTGGGACAGTGCCTTCTGTCTGCCAGTGTGGCCTCTGTCGCTGCACAGCCCACATCGTGGCCCTGATAGCTGGGTCCGGTGGTGGCAGGAACAGACCCGCAGCTCCTGGCCTCTGCTTGCTCTCTGCTTGCCCTCTGCTCCTGTCCTAGGCTCTTGAGTAGTGGCGTTGCAAGTCTTTTTAATCACAAGTGTTTCTGCTTTTTCTTTCCTTTTTTTCTGCCATGTAGAGAGGAGCCGTCAAAACTGGATCGAGATGTTTTGGCCGCTCTGGAGTGTACAGAAGTGGATCCTCAGCAGTACCCGGCTGTGCACAGATGGAGGAGTGCCGTCCTGTGCTACTCCCCCACTGACAGACAGAGGTCAGTGGGCCTGCAGGGTGACCTGTGTTACACTGGGCTCGCTGGTAGCTGGCTTCCGGGCCATCCGCTGGTGACTCAGTATGTTCACGTAGCACTTCATTCGGAGTGCTGCTTGGCCAGGCTGACTCGCAGCTCCCGACGAGGCCGCGGCTGGCGGACCCTGCGCAGACAGGTGTGCGGTTAGGTGGGAAGCGGAGGATGCTGCTGACCCGGTGGGGGAGCAGGTTGGAAGCAGCCAGGAGCCGTGGTCGGATTCACAGAGTGAATCTTCGGGGCTCATGGTCCTGAGGTTTGCAGCACCCGTTCTGGAACCAGGTGGTCCCCTAGGGCTTGGGACTGGGCCCATATCACCCGTTGGTGCTGACAGCGCTTTCTTGGTTTCCTCAGTTGGCCAAGCCCTGCGCTGAAAGGGAAGCTGGAGTCTCAGCAGCTGGATGTCGGTTGTCCCCACAGCTGCAGCCCCGGGAGAAGCCCTGGGAAGCCCGGGCCCGCATCCCACTCCCCAGGCCTGGGCAGCCCTGGGCGCTACAGCCCTGCGCATGGGAGCCACCTCCGCAGAATGGCGCGCCTGGCGCAGCTCACGGCCTTGTAAGGCAGGTGCAAGCTGCTGGGCGGCTCGTTCTCTTGTTTGTTTTTAAAGGAAGAAGGGTAAAGTGTTTATTGCTAAAACTTACCAAAAAGAATATATTCTGATTAATTTATTAGTTCTCATTTTGAGAGTAAAAGGTTTTTAGAAAATGCAAATGTTTTGTATAAAATTTAGTTTTCTGGGGTTTGGGGAGAAGTTGATGGAAACAAATCCAGTTACAAACTTTCTGAGAATCGTCAGCGTGTAACAGTGTGGACTTAAGCTCACCGTGGGCAAGCGGAGGACGCCGTTCCCATGGTGTGTGCCAGAGCCGGGGCTGCCAGTCCCCTGTTCTTACAGCAAAGATGAATTTCGTGCCATCTTCCTTTTCTGGGACGGGTCTCTGACTTTTTCGTTCCTGATAGAAATCTTTTGTTCTGCCGCTTGGTCCCAGTGGCTTAGACCAATTGGTAAGGTGCGTGTCTGGGGGCAAACAAACGTGAAGATGACTTAGACTTGCAAGTTTGGCTCATCACAAACATTTAAGCTAGTGACCAGAAGATAAAACCAGCTTTTCTCTGGGAATAAATTCTCTGGTCCATGGGAGTCCTGCCAGTGGTCCCCGCACTTGACGGAGCAGCAGCTCTAAGGAACCTGCGCTGCCAGTCACTTGGTTTCGTTGCGGGGTTGTGCCGATAAAGTGATCTTCGAGTTCTCCGGGTTTGAAATTTATTGCATATTTCCAGATTCACTTCCACTGGATCTCCTTTATGAAAGAGGGTTGCGTTTTAGGGTAGAAACTAGAGAGTTGAGTCCCGGTCAGTAACCTTGCTCCATTTATTTTAACTTCCCCGTGGCCATGACCTTCTGGGGTTCTGCCTGGAGCATGGGGGTCATCTTAGAACCACTGCCGTGATTGATGCCCAAAACTCCACACCTGAGTTACTTCTCTCCGGCGTACACGACTGCTCGCGCACTGGGGGTGCTCTGTGAATATTTCCAGTGTTTGATCCAAAATGGAAAACTCTACCAATTTTTGCTAAATCCAGTGCCTTTTGTAAATCATTTTTTATTCTCCTGAAACTTGCTTTATGCGAATATACAGGGATACTAAGTAGGCGTGAGATTTTGTTGTTGTTGTTTATAAGAATTCTGAATTGGAACTTGTGTTTAAAAAAAAAAAAAGCTTATTTCTTTCATCTGCTAACAAGAGACAGGTCAGGAATATTGGAATCAACATTTGGATTTTAAAACTTAAAAGGTGGTTACACAGGGTGTTTTCACTTGTGTAACGATCTGGATGTAACACAGAAAAATACATTCTATTCTGAAAGTCAGTGGCATTTACAAAAGGCATCTTTGTTCTCAAAAGAAATTAGAATACAGATAGTACATTCACAGCAATGATCTGTTTTCTGTAAAATCCTGTTACGCATATGTTGTAAATATGAGGATGGAAATTAAAAGTGTTTCTGTCCAAATTTTGCAGACTATGGTTCTTATTTTCTGAAGGTTTAGGTTATCTTTGCCTGTTTGTCCATTTGTTTATATAAGGTGGCCCTGGCCCCAGTTAATACATTTTTAAACTACTTAATGAAATAAATTATTATTAAAACCATATGGTAATAATTCTAAGCTTTCAGAAAAACTGTTCTTGTGGGTGGCTAGGCAAAGTGCTGTTTTTAGTAAAATCTTAGGTAGTTTTGTAATGAAACAATACGTTAATCCGATAGTGGTGAATGCTGTTTTGCGGCCCCTTTCATACCTAACACGGTCTTGAAAGACTTGAACTTTGATATAAGCTAGCACAAATTTCATAATTGCCCTCGGAAATGAAAAACCTTTCCTGTGATGTTAACAACCGGCGTGTAACTTTAGTTCCAAAGAGGTGATGGGGACCCCTCTGCCACAGTGGGGTGGTGCTCTGGTGCCAGGCACAAGGGACGCAGGAAAGTCCCCTGGTCATTGACTGGGGATAGCCACCACCAGGGTGTTATAGAATGAGTTCTCACCTTATGGGGCAGGTGCCAGTTTGCAGCCGTTTTGGGAGTCTCCCGGGTTAGACCTGACCTGGTCCCTGTATTCAAAGGGCAGAAAGGGACTAAGGAAAGGGCCAGGCCACTCCAGCTTAGTAGGTGGCAGGTTTAGTAAGCAGAAGACTTTACATACGAGGCTTGTCTTGGTGGCCAGATGAATAGATTCCTGCATCCACCCTCCTCCTAATCCGGAGAGTTTACGTGGAAGCCCTTCTTGGCTGAGCCCCACCTCGCCATCTCAAGGCCGTGTCCTTGCAGCAGCCTCTGGGATGGGACAGGTGAGGGGAGTGCACATCCAGGGATGGGAGGCCGTGACGAGCTCACCAGTCAATGGGCAGTCACATCTTTCTGAAGACCTTCGCCCGAACAGCAGGGACCACAGACAAATACTCTCGACTAATTCTGGGATGTTTCCAGCAACTTTCACAGCTTTCAGAGGGAGCGGTGGTCTGTGGGATTACTGCCTTGACAGGCTGTGACTTCGGATGTCATCGCTCACTGTGCCGTGGCCCTGAGTTGGGTCTCCTTGCTGGGTTCTTCAAGGCATGCACTTTTCTTGTCTGACACATTTTGCATTTGTGTACAAAACCTGTAAGGATTTTCTGTTTTGCAGACAGCACTTAGTTCCTTTCCTGACTGTCTCAGAAGAAAATATTTTGGAATAAATAGCACAACCAAATAGGAACTGGCTGCTCTGTTGCCACTGTTGTCCGTTCCGGTTCCCTCATGTTACACAGGTTCCTGACTTGCAGGCTTCCTTTTGGCCAAACTTAGGATACTGTTGCTGACACAAGTTTTCAGTCATCTGTCCCACCTCAGATGAGCCTCCGTCTTGGTACCGGGCGGTACTGGCCCCTGTGACCTAGGTCAGCGCCCACTCTTGCTCCTTGGCTGCGTCCCCCCATGTGGACTCACTTTGTTTCCAAAACGCTGCCCTGCGTCTTGGCATCAAGTGAAATGCTGCCGTAAAGGCAGATCTGGCTGGCTCAGTCATTAAGCCTCTGCCTCCAGCTCAGTCATGATCCCAGTGTTCTGGGATCAAGTCCTGCATCGGGCTCCCTGCTCAGCAGCGAGTCTGCTTCTCCCTTTGCCCCTCACCCCTTTCATGTTTTCTCTCAAAAGAAAAAAAAAAAGTAAAGAAAAAAGATCTGAAGATGGTAGAGTGAGACAACTGTGCAAACCCCTTGAGGGAAGGGAGTTGGGGACCTGCCACCTCCACCTTCAGGCATTTGGGTCCGAGGGTCCAGGTCTCAGGCTCGGTGGGACACGTGGCCCTTGCTTTCCTGGGCCTCCTTCACTCCTGAGGTCAGAGGTGTAGTGCTTTTTACTTCTGTGCTTTGAGAAGTTGGCACAGTGCCTGGCTTGTCAAAACAGTTTCTAGAAAGTGCATGACGGGTGCCTGTGAAAAACCATTTCTCTGGCTCACTGTCCTGGGTCTGGGCCTCAGCCCCTGGTGGGCAGATGCCCTGCGAAGCCGTCAACCCTGAGACCACAAAATACCGAGGCAAAGAGCCTTCTGTTGCTGCAGCCGCAACCGTCGCAGCAGCTCTGGGGCTGCTGTCTGGTGCACAGCATGGCTTCCTATTTTCTTGAAAATATTTACAATCACGACTTTGGAAAAATCAGTAAAATAAAACTTTTATTTGCAGTTATCTCCAAAGTTACAGAGGAATGGATCAAATGTCCCAATTAGTTTCACTGACTGCAGAAAATGTTCACAACCACTTCATAGAAATTGTAGTTTCTCCTAAGTTAACAGAGTATTTGGGATGGACACATCACATCTAAATAGTTTAATCCGTAAGCATGAAGGAGGAACGGCCAGAGGCGAAGTTGGAGCTGGCGAGTGTTTTACTGGAACAGGACACCCTGCCGTCTGTCCGATCACCACCCAGCCACCTCCCTCACCGCGGGGCGCTGGGGAGGCCCGACAGTGCCAGAGGTGCAGGAGTCGGGACTGAGAAACGGGTTATCAAAGCAAGAACCCAGATGAGAAGAATCTTTAGTTGACAAATATTTAAAGTGATAAAAGGGTCTCAAGAAAGGAGAAGAATGTAGACAAGTTCTGAATGGGAGCGCTGGCAGCCCCTCCTCGCAGCCTCGAGGGGCTCGCGTGGCCAAGCGTGGTCAGGAGCGAAGACAGCCGTGCGGACCAGCCGTGGTTCCCACAGACAGCAAGAGTGAAGCCTCGTCCTGGCAGACAAGGCAGAAAACCCCCAGAGAGAAACCAGGCCGATCAGCTCGTAACAATTCCCTTTTCCATCCTGGGCCGGAAGGACAGACCAAAACGCCACATCTTAGGTACTTTTTCACCGTCCTGGAGAAGTGCAGCAAGAGCGCCAAGCAGCCTGCGCAGGGAAGACGGGGAAGGAGCCGTGTCCTCGGCAGCACCCGCGGGAGCCACAGGGGGACTGAGGAGAGCAGGGCCTCCGGGCAGCCCTCAGGAGCGGGAGATCTTGTCCGGAGGCATGAACCCCGTGTCCCCAAGGGTCCTGAGCGCCACTCGGCCATCTGGCCGGACCACCAGGTGGGTGATGCTGCCATTGTTGAGCGACAGGCGGAGCCAGCCTTCTGGAGGGAACTGCAGCGCCCTGGGAAGAGAAAGAACATGCTAGAACAGGGGGCTCTGCCACCAAAACGGGCTGGGGTTGGGACAACGCTAAGGGCCCCCAACCCCTGTCAAGACCTTGGAGCAGACTTTCTTGGGGTTGGGACCCATATAGGTAAGGTTTTCAAGCAAGGGGTTTCTCAGAAAGGAGCTGCTGGGCTGATGCCACCCCATCCAAATAAGGGGCGTGGTGGCGGCCCAGCCCCTCTTTGGGTCAGGGGATCCACCCAAGTCAAGCGTGTGGGTCAGAAATCCCCAGCTTCTTACAAGGGCATGGGGTTGAACTTCCAGTGTCACCAAAAGGGGGCAAAGGCAGCCCGGCCGGGCGATGGAGCAGACCCGCTCCCGACCCACTCTCCCCTAGGAATGGGGCCCCAGAGCCTTTCCTTGCTCTCAGACGCACATTCTAGGTGCAGTATTTGCCAAAAAGGCCAGTACCATTACGGCTTCCCCAATCATCAGACGTCCTTTGTGCCCTAAATGTCTACATGGACAAAGGGCATCCCCACGGCTCACCCTGCAACCTCGGGAACAACTACCTTCATGCTGCTTTTTAAAGTCTTCTCTCCCTCACCATCTCCAGAGCGCCCTCACGTATCGTGACGGGGATGCTCTGGCTCCTTCTAGCCCTTTATGGCACACAGGTCACCTCTACTCCAAGTCCCCAAACACTCCTGATGTTCTCAGCATGGGGGTCCCTTCTAGTGGCTGCTTAGTCCAGCCTGTCCCAGGGTGTGTTCTAACATGGTGTTTCCATACGCAAGATGCCCAGAGCAGCAAACCGGGACAGCGTGCGCCGAGCGCAGGAGCACTGAGGTCGGCTTTCCGGAAGCGCTTATTTGGAGGGTGTGGAGCCCCGTCCAAGGCCCACGCCTCTTCCCCAGCCGCCACTCCACCTGGCCTAGAGCCCTGTGAGCACCTGAGAAGCCTGGCTCCTGGCACCCCGAGACCCCGCCTCAGATATCATGGGCTTCTCACCAGAGGCTGTGCACGTGACCCTGGAGGGGAAGCGCGTGCCCCCGCCCGCAGCCCTGACGACAGGCCCGAGGGTCAAGCACAGTGAGCAGGGACCCTGCGTCTGGACTTGGACAGTGCCACAGGTCAGCCAGCAGGCTGTGTCCTGTCCTGCCACTGACAGACCGGTCACGCAAGAAGGGGAAGTCCCTCAGCTGTTAAAGTGCCGGACACATGCTTCCTAATGGATCCAGAGGGTGGCTGGGGTCTCAGTCCTTTCAAATTTTGTACTGAGCTTCGGTCAAATACATAGCACTCAGCGGGCCAGCTGCCTCCAGCCCGCTGGCCCACGTCTGCAGCTCAGGGCAGGTGTCACTCATGGGGGCTCTGGAAGCTGCGCTAGTGCCGGGCAGTGAGGCAGGTCCAGAGGACACAGCAGCCTCCTTCCAGGGGCCCGGAAGCCAGAGCAGCGGAGTGACCAACACGGTGATGGGTCACAGCCCACAGCGCCAAACACATCGGCCAGTCCGTGGTCCTGTAGACGAACAAGCGGAGAGTACGTGAGCTCTCACAGGAGCCCCTCAGTTAACGAATGAGGGCAGGATGAAGCAAACGCAAAGCCATCCTGAGCCAAGCACCCTCTGTCACGGCGGGACCCACTGACGGGCTAGATCCAGCTGCTACGAACTGGAGGGAGAGCGGATCTGCACCGTCTCCCCAGACGCTCGCCAGTCCCCGAGGGGGAACACATGACAGTGCGGTGGCCGAGGTCCAGCGCCCAGGGCCTTGACCAAGTGACCACGCGAGCGTCACCCGGACCGTGCCACTGGCTTCGGGCACCCCAGCCCGTGCTGGCACCAGCGGGCTGCGTCTGTGCTATTCCACCAAACAGGCATCGTGGTGAAAAACTGCGAACGGACGTTTCGCCAGAAGGCTGAAGGGGGCCTCCTGGGCAGGTGAGCCGGCGCACAGGCTGGCAGGAGGGAAGGTGGGGCAGGGAGCCCTCGGTCGCCCTCACCGGCACACGATGTAGCGGATGACGTTGGCGTGGCAGATGAAGATCTCGTAACTGTCCTCCTGCTGCTTAGCATCTGCCCGGTGGATGTAGTTCCGGAAGGCGGCCTCGATCCGGGCTCCGTCTTCGTAATACTGCTGGGGGCAGGGGAAGGAATCTTAAGTACGAGGCGGCGGCGCGCGGGCCGTGGGTGGAGGGGGATGGGGAAGCGGGCCGAGGGGGCGCAGTGGGGGATGCTCCCCGGGGAAGGGGGGTTTTTACCACAGCCTCCGGCTTCCAGTGGGACACGGGAGGGTCGGGCTCGATGGGGGCGCCCTCTCTCAGCAGGTCTGTGCTGACCTTGCAGACTCCTGTGGCAGAAGCAGGGACTCAGCGCTGCCCCTTCAGGAGAAGCCGCCCAGGGCCCTCTGCCCTTCTCCGTCCTGCCGCCCCGGGACCGGGGTGGCCGGCACTCACCTGGCAGGTGTTTGCTGATTATATCAGTGGTTTCTGTCGCCCGGGTCATGGACGAATGGACAATTTTATTAAACTTCAACCCCAGGCTTGCAAGTCGGAGCCCGGTTAGTTCTGCCTGTTCACGACCTTGAAGGTGCAAAACACCGGAGAATTACATGTTGCTGGGGTCCCGTCTTTTACTTCACAAATACTCCAGTCCTCATCAAGTACCGTTAGGATGGGGTACGAGGGGCAACTGGGTGGCTCAGTGGGTTAAATCCAATCAATCAATCAATCAAATCTTTAAAAAAAAAAGGATTGGGGTACAAGGTGGGCAGACCCTCCTGGGGCTTGGGCCTTCCTGCACGGGCAGGCACTCCACAGGTAAAATCAGTGACGCAGTTACCTTCGGCCCCACAGAGAAGAAATGTTAAAACAACGACCAAGGTTGAAGATGACTGAAGTCTGGGGAGGGTCCTGTTACTATTTCTGGGTCCCTCATGCCCCTTTTATGCAATTTTGTCCTAAAACTGACCCACCAGCTGTGCCATTATCAGAGATGCCCACGGCCTCCGCGTTACTAAGTACGGATTCGTACAAACACAAATCCTTTTTCTCAAACATAGATCTTAGAATCTAGCTGACAATGCCCTGGGCCAGTCAGTGCCGGCCGCATGCGGGAGCGCCGTGGACGAGGCTGCGCTGCGCACATGTGCACTCAGCACCCAGGGCACTGGGGGCGCCCGGCAAGCTGCAGAACAGGCCGCCAAACGCTTTAGACCGTCTGGGTTTTCAGTACGGACACAAATGGGTCAGATCCTGTCCGACACAGAAATCTTTACAAATTTAAACTCTATCTCAGCCCGCCCTGCGCTTCCTCTCCTGGGAAGATACGCCTGCACGCAGGCACAGAGACTGCGGCCGGCGGGCACACCCAGCAGCACCACGCAGGCGGCAAGACTCAGCAATGAGTAGCATTTCCATCGGGAGATGCCGGAGCCACCGCTCGGTCTCTACCATCAGGAAGCCGGCTGTAAGGAGATCTGCAAGTGCTGGCCAGAAGGATCTTCAGCAACAAGTTAGGTCAAGCAAAACGGGGTGCACACGGCGTGCCACCAGCAGGGCGTGAGCAAGGAACGCCTCCGCCGGGCTTCGGATCTGATCGTGAGAGCCACCATCTGTTTTTGAAAGTTGAGGATGTTTCCCGTGCCTGTCTCATGTCAGTTAGGCTGATGACCTATTGTGAATGACAATTCTTGAATCTCGGCCAAGCCCCTGACCCAGGTCCAAAGGGGCCCAGCGCCACCAGCATGGGTGTCAGTTGGGGCTTGAGCCCCAGCACGTACCCAGGGGCGTCAGAGTGCGGTCCTTTTCCAGGGAGGCATCCACGTGGTACTGGGAGTGCCTGATGAGGAAGATGTGTCGTGTGGCCTTGGCTTTGCAGTGGTCCAACCTGGACGCCAGTTCTTCTTCTCCAGAGTCCAGGTTCCTCTTCCGCAGGTTGACCAGGGACAGTGGTTCTCGCCTAATGTTGAAATAGGAGAGGCGTGTCCTTGTGATCCCCGCTCACAAGTCAGCCTTGAGTATTTCTGACAAGACAGTATTTCCATCCTGGGAAAGTGCAGGGACAAGACCTGCCCTTTGCACTCTGCTCTCTGCCGCTGGCCCCGGAGAGTGCATCCCCTCGGACCACATCTCATTTACCACACAGAGCTGAGTGCCCGGCCTGTTCTGGGTGAGCAGACAGTGAACGAGACAGAGCAGCGAGGCCCTCGTGCAGCTTGTGTTCTAGTGAGGAGACTGATTAAAAGACCTGGTGGTAAGTGATGTGCAGAAAACGAAACCAGGTAACAGGAAGGGGTGGCTGGGGGAGGACCCACGAGGCCAGTACGGCCTCGCTGATGCAGAGTCTGCAACTGTGCTGTCCAATGTCAGCCACTGGCCATGTGGCTACTTAAATTCAAAATAATGAAAATTAAAAATCTGACTCCATTTCCCTGGCCACACTAAGCACATCTGAAATGGTTCAGTAGCACATGGGATAGTGGCGACCACACTGGACAGCAAGGAAGAGAACATTCCCATTATCATGAAAAGTCTACTGGATGGCACTCCCGGAAGGTTGTAGAGCTGAGGGGACGGTAGGGGGTGAGGGCAAGGGGCACCAGCAGCCACGATGCTGAGAAACGGCCAGATCTTATGAAGACAGGCATGTCTGGTAGCGCCCAGAACTGAAATTAATAAAAGCTAACGGTCTGTGGGATGGGCAGAACTAGGGAAAGAGTGTCCTCAAGGGAACAGTGGCAACTCAGGGGTCCTGCTGGGCGAGCCTGGGGTGTCCTAACACAGGCTGAGATGCCACACTGGAGCCCAAGGCACTACGGGCACAGACACAGGGAGCCCAGACTCGATGAGGTTCTCCACGAAAAGGCTCTGGAACTTTCCAGCACGGACAGCCTCCCCCTTCATAAACCTAGTCTTGGTGAGCAAATACAGTGTGTTGGCCGCAACCAATAAAGCTAGAGTCCAGTGCTACTTCAATTACGTCCTTTAATCTCAGAATAAATATTTTTCCTTAAAAAAAAAAAAAAGGGGGGGGGGTGCCTGGGTGGCTCGGTCGGTTGAGCAGCTGCCTTTGGCTCAGGTCATGATCCCAGAGTACCAGGATTGAGTCCCGAATAGGGCTCCCAGCTCCACGGGGAGTCTGCTTCTCCTCTCCCAAATAAATAAAGAAAATCTTAAAACAAAAACACCAAAAACCGAGGAAATTTAGAAGACTGTACTGATGTTTGAAAAAGAGAGTATGACCCTGGTCAAATCATGAGAAAAACAGACAAATCCTAACTGAGGGGCATACTATAAAATTCCTGAGTGCCACTCAACATGTCAAGGTCATCAAAACAAGGAAAGTCTGAGAAACTGTCACACCCAAGAGAAGCCTGAGGACACATGACTAACTGTCATGCGGGATCCTGGAAGAGACAACAGACAATAGCTGAAAACGGAAGAAATCTCAAAAAAGTGTGAATATCAATCAATAATAACATACAGGTATCAGTTCACCGACTGTGAAGAATACACTGTCCTAGCATTGAGACGTTAGTAGCAGAGTAAATCAGGGGTAGAGTATGTAAGAACTCTCAACTTTCCAATTTTCCCATAAATCTAAAACTATCGTAAGATATTTTTTAGAAGATTTATTTGACAGACAGAGATCCCAAGTAGGCAGAGAGGCAGGCAGAGAGAGAGGAGGAAGCCGGCTCCCCGCTGAGCAGAGATCCCGATGCGGGGCTCCATCCCAGGACCCTGACACTTGACCTGAGCCGAAGGCAGAGGCTTTAACCCACTGAGCCACCCAGGCGCCCCAGGATTTTTTTTTTTTTTTTTTTTTTAAGATTTAAAACAAAGAATACCAGGGGCTCAGTGATGGTTGGCTCAGATGGTTACACGTCTGCCTTCTGCTCAGGTCCCCATCCCAGGGTCCTGGGATTGAGCCCCATATGGGGCTCCCTGCTCAGTGGGGAGTCTGGTTCTCCCTCTCCCTCTACTGTTCCCCCTGCTTGTGCTCTCTTGCTCTGTCAAATAACTAATTAAAATCTTAAAAACAAAAACAAAGAATACCTATGAAGTTCCTGATACAACTAGGCTGCCCGTGAATACTAGTTCTGCGCCCCCCACTCAGAGTAAGTAGGAAGGAGGAGCTGGGACCTGGCAAACCATCGCACAAGGGCCACTCCCAGGCTCCAGAGCAGTGCTGTCCAATAGAAACACACCAGCGACCTATGGACTTCAAAATTTCTAAGAAGCCATATTTAAAAACTAGAAAGGAACAGGTAAAATTTCAAAAACTCACTTTATTTAATCCAACGCATCAACAATACTATCACTGCAACACATAAACAATATTTAAAAATCCGCACTGTTTTGTTTTTTAAATTTAAATCCATCAACATCAAATAACACTAAAAACTGTTTCCTGATTCCAGGTGCCACTTCCCAAGTGCTCAATAAGCACATGTGGCTTGCGGCCATGCACTGAGCAAGACCCGGAGGTTCCCGTTCCTATCACGAAGTCTAGCCATGTCCCTGCACATCTTCCCCGCAAAGCGGTCCCTTTAAGGGCCAGGCTCTCACCTCCGCCGCACGTCCCCCGTCTCTCCCAGTCAGGCAGGGCTGGGGTCAGCACGCCATCCTCCAATCCCAGCGCTCCCAAAAGCGAGGGAGACCAGGCTGACCGCCTACACGCAAGTCCGACCCTCTGTCCCCTCCTGAAAGCGACCACCTCGGACCGCCCCGCTTGCCAGGCACTGTCCCAGGCACCAGCGTCCTCCTTCCCCCAAAGGACCCTCTGGGACAGGCGAGGCGGCCTGGGTTCGGAAGAGGGGTCGAGGGCGCCCCCGATCACCGCCAGCCTCGCGGCCACATCCGGAAGAGAAATCCGCCCGCGAGCCTGCCCCGCCTGCCCCTCCGCAGAACCGACCACATCGGATCGAACGGAACGGCAGAGGCGCAGGAGAGTTCCCACCGCTGACGACTGACGCGCCCGACGCCACCCGCGGCCCCCGCACCTGTCCCAGTTGGGGTCCCAGACGCCCGGCCCGGGGCGCGCGGACCCCGCCCACGCCGGCGCCTCGACCACGCGCGGCTCCGCGTCCCCGCCCGCGCGGGGCTTCCCCACCGCCACCGCCGAGAAGAGCACGGCGGCCGAGCCTCCCGCGAGGCCGCAGGCCGCCAGCTGCAGCGCCTGTCGGAACGCCATGCCCGCCTGCTCCGCGCCGGCCCTGCGCAGGCGCTCACGGGTGGACGGCGCGCCGCGAGGGACACGATTCCTCAGGAACCGCTTCCGTCCTGCGGACCGCGCGGGGCCGGAAGTCCAGCCTCCGGAGCACGGGGGACTGGGGACGCCCCGGCCGGTCGCAGAGAGTTTTCGGGAGCGAAGTGGAAGAGGCTTTGTGGGCGACGGCTCCGAGACCTCTTCCCGGGTCCTGTGCTGAGGGCCCGGGTGCAAGTCAGCCTGCCTTCGAGCAGTGAGAGTTGGCGCGGCGCCACCCGTTTGCCCGGCGCTGTCCGTGTGGACCCACCTGCCGGGGCACAGCGGGAGCCTCTGACCCGGCGGGACGTGGGCAGAGGACGAGCGGGTGGGGGGGGGGAGGCGGGGCCGCGGGGCGTGTGTGTGTGTGTGTGTGTGTGTGTGTGTGTGTGTGTGAGGGAGGGAGATGGGTGGGGCCGCGGGGCGTGTGTGTGTGACCACGCCATTTGTGTTTGTGACCATGCCCTGTGGTCGGGGGTGGGGGGAGTGTGTATGTGCTGGTGTGTGAGCCTGCTGCGGGGTGTGTGAGATCATGGGTGGGTCAGGGCGGCGGTGGGACCACTCCTTGCGGAGGCACGGGAAGGAGTCCCAACCTTGAGGCTGCAAGGAGCTGGCAGGTGGGGGAGGGAGCCTTGCAGATAGAACTTAGGATTCTAGTTTAAGTGAACTGAGAAACCTCTGCAGGTTTCCTTTAACTGTGGTAAAATACATGTAACAAAATTTACTATCTTAACTGTTTTGCTTTGTTTTTAAAATTATTTTATTTTATTTAATTAATTAACTTATTTATTATTTATTTTTAAAGATTTTATTTATTTATTTATTTGACAGACAGAGATCACAGGCAGAGAGTCAGGCAGAGAGAGAGAGGGGGAAGCAGGCTCCCCGATGAGCAGAGAGCCCGATGTGGGGCTCGATCCCAGGACCCCGGGATCATGATCAAGCTGAAGGCCGAGGCTTACTCCACTGAGCCACCCAGGCTCCCCTAAATTTTTTTATTTTTTAAATACTCTCAGGGCACCTGGGTGGCTCAGTGGGTTTAAGCCTCTGCCTTTGGCTCAGGTCATGATCCCGGGGTCCTGGGATCGAGCCCCACGTCGGGCTCTCTGCTCAGTGGGGAGCCTGCTTCCTCCTCTCTCTCTCTGCCTGCCTCTCTGCCTACTTGTGATCTCTGTCAAATAAATAAATAAAATCTTTTAAAATAAATAAATAAATAAATAAATAAATAAATAAATAAATACTGTCTACACCCCAGGTTGGGCTCGAACTTACAACCCTGAGTTGAAGGGTCCCACGTTTTACTGACTGAGCCAGCCAGGTGCTGCCCCACTATCTTAACCATTTTTTAGTTTTGTTTTTTTAAGACAGAGCACAAACGGAGCAGCAGGCACAGGGACAGGCAGAAGCAGGCTCCCCACTGAGCAGGGAGACCGACGCAGGGCTCCATCTGAGAACCCTGGGATCATGACCTGACCTGAAAGCAGACACTTAACTGAATGAGCCACCCAGGCGCCCCGTCCTAACCAATTTTAAGCACATAGTTCTGTGGCAGTAAATACATTCACACTGTTGTGTAACTGCCACCACCACCACCACCATCCATCTCCAGAACCTTCTCACCTTCCCAGAGTGACTCTGTCCCTGTTAAACACTGACTCCCTCTGGCATCCACCATTCCCTTTTCTGTCTGTATGAATTTGACAATTCTAGGGACCTCATGTAAGTAGAATCACACAGTATTTGTCCTTTGGGGACTGGCTTATTTCACTTAGTATAGTGTCCTCAAAGTTCATCATGTAGTATATGTCAGAATTTCATTTTTAAGGCTGAATAATATTCCATTTTATGGATACAACACATTTTGTTTATCCATTCATCCGTCAATGGACACTTGGGTTGCTTCCACCTTTTGGCTACTGTGAATAATGCTATGAACATAGGTGTGCAAATACCTCAAGTCCCTTTCAGTTTTGGGGGGTATACACCCAGAAATGGAACTGCTGGGTCATCTTTGTAGGTTTTTAAGTTAGGAGTTGACATGATATGACTTATATTTTTAAAAATCTCTCTGGATTATGGAGAACGAATCAGTTATACAGAAATACTCTGATCTCTGTTTAAACATGGTGTCTTGAACCCATACATTTTTGCCTACTTCTTCCAGAAGGTTGCTTACTAAAATGATAGTAAGAAGTTTTTTTTTTCAAGTAGGCTCCACACCTAGCATGGAGCCCAACACAGGGCTTGAACTCATGACCCTAAGATGAAGACCTGAGCTGAAATCAAGAGTTAGACACTTAACTGACTGAGCCACACAGGTGCCCCATAAAAAGATTTTTAAAGAAAGAAAAAAAAGACAAGTCCACAAGGAGAAACAAAAAGATCAGTTGACAAATTTAGAAAGCTGGAAATCAGGTCATTTTAGATCTGAGAAGATGGAATATCAGTTGCCAGCATTGTAGGAAACCAAGAAGTAAGCTTAGTTAGTCCAGTGAGTCTGGAAAAATCTGGGAGTTACACGCAGTAGCCCCACCTCTGAGGAAGGGTGTGGGGTTGAACAAAGAAGGACCAATTGAAAAACCTATAAGAGTCTGTCCTCTACACCCCCTCCATCACCTGTATCTTCAGGTGAATACCTCACCTCCATCATGGAAGATGACTTTCATTCCAGAGGATTTAAACCAGAAGGACTCTGGACTTGGACACTGGACGGCTGAGACTACGGTGCAGTAGTAGAGCTGAGATTACTCAGACGTGATGAAGTTCGCGTGCTAACGGGACCGCTAACCCTTTCCTTCAGTTAGCTGCAAGAATGCTGGCCACTAGACTTACACAGCCCTCCACTCTAACCACGACCCTTCCCCTGGGCAAGAAATTAAAGAATTCCTCTCTGGGGAATTCTAAGAGGAAAGGGCCTTGGTACTGAAAATGGGTGATCTCTGACAAAACTGGGTCCCTGCTCGGTCAGCCCACGGTGAGAGTACTGCCTGGTGACTCCGACTCTTAAAGGACGGATATATAATCAGACTTTTGGGGAAATCCTGATTGGGAAAAAGAAAGAACAAAACAAATGTAAAAAAACAAAACAAAAAACAACCATGAACCCCGAGGAAACAGAAACAGTATATGGGACATAAAAGAAGTTTTAAAATAGAATATTAAGATCCAAGGCTATTGTATTCATGAGAGAAGGACAGGATACGGAGTGTGAGAAAAGGTGAGGAGGAGGGTTAACGGAAGAGCAGTAAGAGCAGAGAAAAGTCAGGGGAAAGGGTGCTTGCTATATGCTCCTCACAGAGCCTCCGAACGTCAGGGTGACGTCCTGCTCTAGAAGGGCCCCTTTCCAACGTCTCCACGTAGGCAAGCAATAGTATTAGAGGTTTTACCACAATTTTTTTTAAAGTGAAAAAAAAAAAAAAAAGTCTGAGGGCAGCCCTCTGGCCCCCCATTTCTACCAAAGTGACACAATTGTTCTGAAAAATTACAATCACCACGGAAAATGGTGCGTTTTAGTTTATTGTCATCCTAATTTGATTCAAGGTGACAAGAAGTCAGCACTACTGTATTTTATGACTAAGGCAGCATCACCTGAAGACAGTTTCTGCCTTTTTAAAGCACAAGATTCTTACATGAAAAGATTTCTGTTTCTCCGTCTTCTGTCAAATGATCGGGAGTCAGATCAAGTCCTGACTGGTTGTCTCTGCTCCCTCGCCCTAGGCAGGTGGGTCCCTAGACGCACGTGGGCAGTGTGTCTGCGCTCGCTTGGGTCATCTTCACTTCCCCAGAGAGGCCAGGTACATGTACCAGAACAGAGACACCAGGTTGGCAAAAAGCACTCGGAACTGCCAAGAGAACACAGGCCACAGTGAGGCCCTGACTGTATGTACCAGTCGCCGACCCCCCAGGACAGAGCTCATTTGTTGGTCCGTCCGTCCACAAGCTGCCGCATCCACTGAGCCTTCACTTCGCACAAAGCATGGTGCTAGAGGGGTGAGCAGGACATTACGGGCTGGCAGAGAAAGCAGACGGGACTGCCCCGTGTCCACTGAGCACCAGCTCCTGGCTCAGCTTCTCACCCCGGGACTGGACATCTGGTGATGGCTTCCCTCAGCCTGTCGGTGATGCCCCGCCAGCCCAGGCCGTGACCCTCCTTCCATGTTCTGACGGACATACTCCCGCCTGGAATTATCTTTAGTCAGTGAGCCTCCCTGACGTACAAGCTCCATGAAAGCTCCATGTTCTACCTTGTTAGTCACGGTATCCCCAGAGTTTAGAGCAGCGGGGCATACAGTAGGTGCTCAGTAAATGTTTAATAAACTCCCCTGGCCCTTAAGCACTCAACTGCAACCACCTAAAATGGAAACTAATCACAGCCTCCCAGCTTTCTGTCCAGGGGCTGCCCAGAAGGGTCTCATTTTCCAGGCTCTCCCACTCTGCCATCCAGAGATCCCTTCATGTCCTCAGCCATTCTGCCTTTCCGTTTCTTTACTTCCTTGTCTGTGTACCTTAGGGTCCACGGCCCGTAGCCTTTGTTGCCTTCGCCTGTGGCTCCTTAGTTGTACTCCCCAGAAAACCCACATCCTCCCTGCTTTGCTGCGGCCCTATGCCCATGCACATGAGGATCTCCGGTCAGCTCCCTCTGTCATCAGAGAATGACAGACAAGACAGACAAGACAAGAAAACAGACAAGACAAGTCTACTCTGTCTTTACTCCCCTCAAACCCTTCCTACCTCCTCTCCCCTCCGTCTGGCCCCGCCCTGCCCTCTGCCCCCACCCCCCCAGAGGAAAGCATGTGTAGACAGGCGTCCCCAGCGAATAGGCACCTCTCTCCTGTCTTGGTAAAGAAGAGCTTCCGTCTAAAGCACCTCTCTGCTTATGCCCGAATCCCACAACCCCTCTTTAGGGTAGCGTCTGGCCTAGCTTCGAAGCCCTCTCCCATCATTTCTCCCCACCTCTTCACCAACACCTTAGAGAATTTTGCA